CAAATGTAGCCTCATTACCTAAGAAAGTTGACACTAGGTAAGATGTTGGAATCTATTATAAAGGGTATGCTGACTAGACATTTACAAAGGAATAGTAAAATTGGACATAGTTGATGTGGATTTATGAAAGGAATCATGTCTGACAAACCTTGAAGTTTTTGTTTGGAGGTTATTACTTGTCTAAATAAAAGAATCAGTAGGTGTTTTGTATTTGGATTTTTAGGGGCCTTTGGTACAATCTCTCAGGAGGTTAGTAAATAAAGTAGATTGCATGGGACTGGAGATAATATACTGATGAATTGAGAATTAGTAAACAGTAGGATCAAATTGATAATTCTCTCAATGTCAGGCTGTTACCAATGGGATGCCACAAGAATCTGTTGCAGATCCACTGTTCTTCATAATCTATGTAACTGATTTGGATGTGGGAGTCATGTAATGTGGCCAAATTTTCTAATGATCCAAAATTGGTGGGAACCTAAGTCATGAGGAGGATGCAAGGAGGCTTTGAAAACTTGGACAGGCTAAGTGAATGGGCTGGAACATGGTTGGTAACTTCACATATTGTATTATTTATGTTTGCAGAAAAAATAGAGTAATATTTAAATGGTGACCGGTTAGGAAATCGGGTGTCCAAAGGGACCAGGGTGTCTTTGTTCAGGAGTCACAAAGTTAGCAGCAAGCAACTTGCAAGACAAATTGTATGTTAGCCTTCATTGCAAAGGAACTTAAATACAGCTGTAAAAATGTCTTGACGTTATATAGACCCTTGATGAGACCTCACCTGGAGTATTTTGTACAGTTTTGCTTCCCTTATCTATAGAAAAATATACTTGCTTCTGTGGATAAGTAACAGAGGTTTGCCAGATTAATCCTGGGATGGTGTGGTTTTCTTAATAGGAGAGTTTGAGGAGACTGTGTCTATATTCTCTATAGTTCAGAAGTTTGTGACCTTGTTGAAACTTACAAAGTTCTTCCAGGCATAATGGGGTGGATGTAAATAAGATGCTTCTGCTGGCTGATGAGTCTAAAACAAAGGGAAATGTTCTCTGGATAAGGGGTAGACCATAAAAGATTCAGATGAGAAACTTCTTCACTCCGAGCATGGTGAATCTTTGGAATTCTGTCCCCATTGGGCTGCAAAGTTCACTCATTGAGGGATAGAAATTTCTGGAGACTACTGGCATCAAGGGTTATGAAGATGTGCAGAAAAGCGGAGATCAGGTTTATGATCTGTCGTAATCTAATTGAATGTCGGGCGGGTTTGATGGGCTTAATTGGCCTACTTTTTTAAACAGTTTAATTTATTTGTCTCCCTTGTCTTATTCAGTTGACCCACAATTTGAGATTCTGCAGCAACTCAACTTGAGCTTCAATGATATGCTCTCAACACCACCTTTTAAAATGTGGGATATTAAAATTTTTATCCTTATACCCTTTGCAACTTTGAATACAAATTGAAATACATAGTCTGTTTCTGTGGTGTAAAGGCTATTTGTCCATAGGGCCATACTGGAGGTTATGATCCACTCAAGTCTCCAGCCACTTTACATCTAACACCATTGACATATCCCTCGAGGCTATTCTCCCTTGTGTTTATGAAACTTCCTGTAAAATGCATCGCTGCTAGTTGTATCACTACTGCTTGTGTTATCCTTTGAAAGAAATAGAGTGATAATTTGTAAACAGTATTTTCGTAAAGTTATGATTCAGTAAAAGTTACCTTTTATGGAATGAATAGCAAAGACGTTTTTTTTTGCTAGATTCAAGCTTATAAATGTTCATGGGATATGTGCATTGTTGGTAAATGCTCGCTTATTAGCCATCACTAATTGCCCTTAAAGATCTTGGTGAACTGTTGCTTTGAAATGCTACAGTACTTGCGGTGAAGGTACTACCACAATGTTGTTGGCAGTCATCTCCAGGATTTTTGACTCTGCAACAATGAAAGAAATGATACATATCCAAATCCGGATAGTGTGTGGCTCAGAGTTGGTGGTTTTCCTATATAACTGCTGCCCATGTTTTAGCTTTAGCTAGAAGTTAAGTTTGAAAGTACAATTTTAAAATGTCTTAGTAAATTTCTGCAGTGCATTTTGTACGTGGTATGTACTGCCGACATATTGCACTATTGCTAGAGGGTGTTAATATGCAAGGTCCTAAAAGGGATGCCAAGAAAGCAAGCTGGATGATGTTGAGTTTTTTTCATGTTTTTTAGAACTGTCGTCATCATCTGGCATCACCACCATTTCTGATCTTATGGAGGAAAGATCGGTGATAAAACGACTAAAGTTAGTGGAGGCCAACAACATTTCCTTGAGTATTTTTCCAGTAATATCTAGGGCTGAATGATTAGCCTCTCATGATGCACCTTTCTTTGCATTTCTGTCAATTGGAAGTTATCCCTAATTCCCATTGAGTTCCATTTTACTGAGGCTTCTTGGCGCCACACTTGGTCGAATGTTCTTTATCAAAGGCAGTTACTGCAGCATTCCAACACGGAGTGCTGTTTGAAAATGCTTCAATAGTATCTGTGGTCATGAAAAGCAAGTCTTTCAATGCAAGTCTTTCTTTCATCCCCAGATGGACTGTGCATCTCACTACCAATACTGTTATAGATAGATGCATCTGGAGGAGGTAAATTTAGAGGTTAAGTAGACTTCACCCCTGCCAAGTTGGGTTATTGCAGTCCCAATGTGACCGTTATGTTTAAGCCTCAATCAATTGTGCTACCAAGCTTTTACTTGTAATAGTAGCACCCTGGCTACCCACAACCACCACCAACATAACCTGCCTCAATCCAGAGTACGTTCTGTGCCTTTCCTATCCTCAGTACTTGGGGGGGAGGTGATGGCCTGGTGGTATTATCGCTGGACTGTTAATCCCGAGACCCAGATAACATTCTGGGGACCCGGGCTCGAATCCCACCATGGCAGATGGTGAAATTTGTATTCCATAAAATATCTGGAATTAAGAATCTAATGATGACCATGAATCCATTGTCGATTGTCAGAAAATCCTGTCTGGTTCATTAATGTCCTTTAGGGAAGGAAACTGCCATTCTTACCTGGTCTGGCCTGGCCTACATGTGACTCCAGACCCACAGCAATGTGGTTGATTCTGAACTGCCCTCTGGGCATTTAGAGATGGGCAATAAATGCTGCCTAGCCAGTGATGTCCCCATCCTGTGAATGAATAATAAAAAAAAAAAACTACTTCCAAATAGTATTCAAAATTAAGTATTGACTCAACAACTAAGAAAGGGCAGCAGGTGGTAATTAGCATGAGGTATTCTTGCCCATGTTTGACCTGATGCTACGAGATTTCATGCAGTCGGGAAATACTCTGTGGGTCACAGTAGACTAGTGCTGAAACAACTACTTCTGTCTTCTCAGAGAAGAGCACACATACAGGTGTGAGTTCCATCATGGTTGTCTTCTGCTTACATTGATGTTGCACTTTGTGTTTTTATTACTTGTTTGTCATTTCTTGCCTTATTTTTGCCTTCATTCTCCCATTAAACGTAGGCAAGTGACAGGACAGTCCAATTTTTTTGATAGACTTTTACACAGACCTTTTAATGCAGTATTTTAGATATCTTTTAGTTTAAATATGGTATTGATGAATTACAAAAAAACAAATGTTTTTTAAATATGTAAAAACTTTTTTCTTTTACTATGTAAAGAACCATCCAGAGTGTCACAGCTACAAACACCACCTGTTCACCCACCTTGCCTCTCAGTTTCGTGAAAGAGTTGACAAAGTCCTGAGGCTAATTTCGGGAAAAATTGAAATTTTCCTCTCTGGTCCCCTAAATCAATCAACTAAGCTACACTCATGAATTTCACTTGATCAACTCCACAATGTTTTTTCTAAAACTTGAAATGTCCTTTACCATCAGAACCTGATTTGGAAATTTGATTCAGTGGACCTTTAAAGGAAAATATGCCAACATATTTAGCCAAGTCTAATGACTGAATAGGTATGTTTTTAGTCATCTTACGTTAAACCTTCTCCAGAGACACACTATCTCCTTCCAGATGAGGAAACTAAAACTATCCCCTGCCTTAATAGTGCAATATAAAATTCTGTTTTCCTTTTGCTCTTATTTCATTGCTTCGACAATTTATGAAGCATTTTCTCTAGGTCTCCCTATTCTATTCTGTGAAATTTAGTGTAGGTAATGCTGCATCTCATCCATATACCTGGAATTTTCCACACCCAATTACATGCCCTGTAATTATCCATGTTGAATGATATCTATTACACATGGGCTTATTTCTTGAATTTGTCTAAGCTTATCTTTAGCCCGTTGTTTGATCTAAATTCCTGACTCTTATGTAGTTATATATCACCTACAAACTTGTAAATGCCTCATTTGAATCATTTAGGAAGATGACAGAACCGCTGCAGTCACAATTCCATTCTTTTATGGGGCTTCACAAGTTTTAAGTGGATCTACTACCTTGAAACCTTGCCTGCAAGGCTGCTATATATCTTTTAGGACAAAAGATCTAACTGCCAAACATGTGATATAAATTCTCTTGATAATGATCTGAGGGCCATCGTTTTGAAAGTTCTCTGGAAATTGAAGTATACAATCTCTACAAAGCTTCCATAATCCACTCATTTTTGTGATGTACTCGAGGCTTCAATCAGATATGTCAATATGATCTATATTTCCTAAAGCCAACTGCTTGGATTCTCTAATGACATCAAGTTTTAATTCATTATTTAGACATAACTATTTAAGGGGCAAGTCATATCTTGAGTGCAAGTTATTGAACATTTTCAGGATTATTTTCTAGAATTCCAAGCTTTTAACAAACAAACATGGATTAATTATTACAAAGAATGTAGTTGTGCCTGTTTTGATGGCATACAATGAACTTTACACTTAGTTATTTTGTCACTTTTACATAAATCTTCATAAAAGAATAGGTTGTTTAACATCTATAAACACGGTTATTAAAAGCCTTTCTTTAATTAAATTTGTTTAGGCCTCGACCTCTTCCTCCTCCTCTTCCTCCACCTCCACCTTCACTTCTCTATGGTGAACACAGACCACTTTCCCGGTTCGATGACTTTGCTCCAGAGGATTACGATGGACGTTCCAGGTAGTTGATTAAACTTTGATGTGTAAATGAATCTAGCCAAATATTGTTTAAAATGGTTGAAAGTGAGGTCAGGATTTCAATCATCTTGTCAGAGTGTTGTCATTAAGTCACAGAGAAAGTCAAAGACATCCCTTTTCTGAGCTGTCCATGACTAACTTGTATTGACATCAGAGGCCCACGTCTGGGTCATCCTCCCTCCCAGTCTACTGCCATCAATTAATTTGTCAAAAGTCATACAACACCAGGTTATAGTCCGACAGGTTTATTTAAAATGACATACTTTTGGAGGAGCAGCACTCTGACCGCTTGTGATTTTAAATGAACGTGTTGGACTATAACTTAGTGTCATGTGACTTTTGACTTTGTCCACCCCAGTCCAACACTGGCATCTCCACATCATGGCTACAATTAATTTGTGACTTGGAATTGTGAAATAGTGGGGCATGTATTTTGCTAAAAGTTAGAAAGTATTCCTATTTACGGGTAGAGCCTAATGTTAGAACCCCATTAATCAAAATGGATGAGATGCAGGAAAAGCTCCAACGATCTTGTTAACTTTTCACTGAGAATTTTGTCTTTTAATCCAGGTTCAACCATTTCAGTGAACATCGAGCAATACGTAGTTCGGAAGAAAATTCCCGCCTGCATAGTAGATATGCACCCTATTCTACAAGACTACCAGCACCTCAAGATCGCTTCAGGGATGAGTTTGAAAGGAAACCTTATTCTTTTTCAAGCAGAAGAGAATTAGAACCACAGAGCTCTGCCCCATATACTATTTTTACCCGTGATTACAATCATGGCCAGCCACCAGAGCGTGGTCCCAGTCTGAGTAAACTCGGGGGTGGTTGTTATGATAATTTTGATGGTTTTCGTGAATATGATTGGAACTAAATTACTAACTTTAATGTGTATTTTTTTTATTTTGGGGATGATAAGCGCTTGTATTTTTCATAGAAGTTTCCTTTTCCAAAATTGAATATTGAAGGACCATGACCCTTCCCTCACTTCTTGCCTTTTAATATTTCTGTTGACTTAGAATGGTGCAGTTGTAAAGAAAACTGTTAGTTATTACACCATAAACATTTGTTTAAGTTTTTTTTTATATAAATTACTATGAATATATGCTTTTTGTCTTGGTTCCTGGTTTTTTTGAAAGTGAATTTCTGAGCACAACAGATTGTAGATAACTTTTTTAAATAAAATTAGAGACCTTTAAGTGTAACAAATTGTGAATTGCACACATCGCCTCAAATTGAATTTATCACCACAGTGGTTTGATTTTTATTTATGGTCTCCATGTGTTCAGAAAGGGAAAATACGTTATGGAAGTACAAACTTATTTCTTTATACAAAAAAGCTAAGTTCCACGATGCACCATACCAACTAAAACATGCAATTCAATGAGATAGTCCTGTTTGTACCTGCTGAGCTCTTAGCAGCATATTCAGTCACGTAGTACTAAAAATAAATGTTCCTTTACTTTAAAATAAACTCATGTTGAGGTGGTTCCTTCCAATGGATATTACTACTCCTTGTTTAAAAAGGATATTTTTAAATATTTCAGTTTGTAGTTGTTTTGCAGTTTATCACATGGAATTACATGTGGCAGATAACCTGACATGGAGTTATGGATGAAGGGTAGCTTCCTAGTAATCTGGAAATTTCTTGATCCTTTTCACACATATACCTTAGTTTATATGCTTATGTGTAATTTTAGTGCTGGTGTTTAAGAAACAAATTGAGGGAAAGAGTCAAGACAAAACAAAAATATCAAAAAGACTAACATCAGTGAAACAAAAAATAAGCATGTTGAGAAAACTTTATTCATATGACTTTGGCCATCAATCGGCAATCTGAACAGCATCCCACCCAGACGCGGACCCCTACCCCCACAATTACCATGGCTAATCCACCTAGGCTGCACATCCTTGGACTGTGGGAGGAAACCAGAACAGCCAGTGGAAACCCACAGAGACACGGAGAATGTGCAGAGTCCACTGTCACCCAAAGCTGGAATCAAACCCAAATCCTTGGCACTGTAAGATAGCAGTGCTTAACCGTGAGCTATCTTGCTGCCCTTCTAAGCTTACCTATATCATGCACATCTGGCCAGCCTCTCAAACCTCAGCAAACTTAAAGTAATCAAAACTTGCTGCCTCAATCCCTACTCTCTAAGTTCCAGTCATTTATCACCATTATGCTTACTGATGTACATTAGTACCCAATAAAGCAATGCCTCAATTTTAAAAATTCTCATGCTTATTTACAAATTCTCAATGACCATGATCCCCTCCAATAATTTTATCCACCCTTACAACTGGAGATTTCTGCATTCCTCTAATTCTGACCTCCTGAGTTTCCCTGATTTGAAATGCTCCAATTTTGTTGACCATGACTGCTGCTTGCTGGGGCCCTAATTCCTGGAATCTGTTCCTTAAACCTCATCAGCTCTCTACATCTCTTCTTTAAGTTTTTGACTTAAATTATTTTGTCTGGCTTTGTGACATTTTGTTTTACAACACTCCTGTGAAGTGCTTTGCGACTTTTCATTAATTGCAGGGCTTATGTAAATACAAATTGTTATTCCAAACTGTGACACCAAATATGGATTTCCAAAGCTGGCAAACAGGGATGTTATGCTTTCCCAAAGATTAGATCATTTTGAAATGTGTAGTGAAGCTAATTTATGCATTTTGTCTTTGAGATGAAAGTATTTCATTTTGGACAGAAAAGATTCAGGACAGAAGAGCTCTGCTTTGTTTTTAAAAAAAATCATACAATGTTATAGAATGGCCATATAGCAGAGCATGGTTCTAATGTAAGTAAATTGAGAAATGGTTGCTACAGTAATTTGGATGGAAGTAATATTTATAGTAATCCCTGTTCATGTATTGTTTGAACTTATTTACTTTTGGTGTAATAAAGTTTTGCCAAAAATATCTGAATAAACTTGGTACTTGATACGCCAGATAAATTTGGAAATTTAAATATCTGGCTCTTTTGCAAGAAAGCAGTTAATTACTGATTTGGGGAGTTATGTCAGACTGCATGATGTGCTGAATGATATACTCCAGGTTTCCCTTTTGTTGAAATTTATATAAATTACATGAATTTAGAAACTATAGATGGACTTGGGAAAAATTTCAGTTTTGAAATTTGAACAACTGAAATGGTTTGAACCTGTTTAGAAAATGGAAACAACTAAAATATGTTGCATGCCATGCATTGTGGTATTTGGAACAGGAATCTGAGGACAATGTCGTTTGACTCGATAGAGAAGAGTGTTCAGATGGTGGAAGTGCCAGGCAAGTGCAGAACTGACAAATGAAATAAATGTACTCTGTCCATCATCAGTGCCAGTGGTCAATAAGCTAAACAGTGTATTCAACACAGTGATAAGCCATGATTTAGAAGAAGTTGGGCAACTGTGCCATAAGCCTATTTCTAACTTGCACTTCCCCTTCAATATTTTTTCATAGGGTTAATTCTTACGCTCCCAAAGATCTGAGGCCTTTCTGAAACCGAACCAGGCTACACTTTTAAAACTATAATTGTGTTTTGGTTACTAAGTCCTAGCGATCATGCAGACAATACTAAATTTATTAATCAGAAAACTTAAGTTCAGACGAAAAATTGAATTCAATCTTCAGTCTTGGAAACAGGTGAATGAGTACAAACTGAATATATAGAATATAAAATGTTGAGCAGAAGTGCTAGCATGATTGCTGGAAAAGGGAATACATAATTCTTAAAGACTGACATCAGAAAGCAATTCTTCAAATGAATTTTTATATCTGCAATACTGTTCAGAAGTGCGGCAGTGTTGCACATAAGTTCAAGGGAAACAAGTTTATGTATAGTCCCTTATCAGTATGTACTTTAGTGATAAGGCAGATGGAGTAATTTCAAATTGAAGTGCAGTTGTCTATTGGATCAACCTTCCTCATATTCTCATGTATGAGAGTAGCACAGTTGCATAGGAGTGTTATTGAGTTAGTGATCCAGTGACACATTCCACCATGTCAGCTGGGGGAATTTAAATTAATAAACAAATCTGGAATTTTAAAACTAATATCGGTGATCCCACAGCCTTTGGAGCTGAAAGGGCTATAATAAAATTTACATCAACTGACATTAAACAATTAAATTATGTTCTAAAGAATCTGCATTGTACATAGCTCCCACTCTCCATTCCAATCCAAGGTCAATAAATATATTTCCTAAGGTGTGCCACACTGCTTGCAGTAGTCCAGACAGGTTATGGCAAAGGCTGTGTATATGTGCTTAATAATTCTCTATTCTTTTGTATTCCAACTCACAAGTATAAGAACAACACTTCACTAACTTTTCTGATTAAATTCTTGTGCACAAGTACGAGTAATGATTGCATACTACATATCTATTTGCTTTTATGCATTTCTTCATTATGTTGTTCAAATCTCTCCTTGCAATGAACTCCACAGTTTTGCCTGCACTATTCTCCTGCCTTCACCAGATCACTATTCAGGTTAGGTGGTTCAAATTAAAATCTAAGCCTACAAATGATGTCTTGTTGAGAGAGAAACTTGTTTTCAGAACCAAACAGAAAAGGGTTAATAGTCAGAGATAGTAGGAACTGCAGATGCTGGAGAATCTGAGATAACAAGGTGTACAGCTGGATGAACACAGCAGGCCAAGCAGCATCAGAGGAGCAGGAAGGCTGACGTTTCAGGCCTAGACCCTTCTTCAGAAATGGGGGAGGGGAAGGGGGTGGACTTCACAAACTTCAAAATCTCCCCTCCCACTACGGCATCCCAAAACCAGCCCAGCTCGTCCCCACCTCCCTAACCTGACCTTGCTCCCACCTCAAGCCCCACCCCTCCACCTCTGTATACTAACCTCATCCCGCCCACTTGACCTGTCTGTCCTCCCTGGACTGACCTATCTCCTCCCTACCTCCCCACCTACACTCACCTTTACTGGCTCCATCCCTGCCTCTTTGACCTGTCTGTCTCCTCTCCACCTATCTTCTCTTCTATCCATCTTCTATCCGCCTCCCCCTCTCTCTCTATTTATTTCAGAACCCCCTTCCCGTCCCCATTTCTGAAGAAGGGTCTCGGCCCGAAACGTCAGCCTTCCTGCTCCTCTGATGCTGCTTGGCCTGCTGTGTTCAGCCAGCTCTACAGGGTTAAGAGTCAAATGTGAAACTCAACTGAAACAATCTTTAGAAACATCAATCTCCTGTTTCTTTAGGAGGTTACGTACGTATCTGCCCACATACCCTATTAACCGCCATGGGGCAAAACATGCATGCAAACATAGGCTTTGCAGACAGACAGGCCAATAAGCAAAACCAGATAATGAAAGATGGGTAAAGTTGATTTGATTGTGAATTATATATGGTTTTGCTTGGGATATTAACAATTTAGCTACTGAGGTGGAGTGGTGAAGTTCTTGAAAGACATCTGAGTGAATCACTTGGTTCATCTCATCTTTTATTGGCACTTTATCTATATATTTCATTGAAAACTTATTGTTTTATAGGTTCTAATGTTGTTTCTTATTGGCAGTTTATTATGACCTTTCCTTGCTTTTTGGTTCCTAAATTCTCTACCTTATCTCAGCTCTTCAGTTATGATTTGTTGCTGTTTCACGTGCTTTTCACAAGCAAATTAAACTACAAAACTATTATACACTAGTCAATTCCCTGACACTACATGCAGGAATCGGGTAAAACAGAGTTAGGAGGCAAGAACAGAATGAAATTCCTTAGGAGGAGGTAATGAGCAATTTAGACAAAAAGGTATTAGTGGATATGATTCATTTGAATTTCCAGAATGTCTTTGAAAAGGTGCTGCCCAGGAGGCTGCTAAATAACATGAGTCCATGTTAGGGGCAAGGTACTGGCATGGTTAGAAGATTGGCTGACTGGCAGAGTGGGGATAAAGGGTCTTTTTAAGGATGGCAGGCAGTGACAAGTGTAGTGGGGTGGCATGGTGGCTCAGTGGTTAGCACTGCTACCTCACAGTGCCAGAGACCTGGGTTCAATTCCACCCTCAGGTGACTGTCTGTGTGGAGTTTGCACATTCTCCCTGTGTCTGCGTGGGTTTCCTCTGGGTACTCCGGTTTCCTCCCACAATCCAAAGATGTGCAGGTTAGGTGGATTGGCTAAATTGCCCATAGTGTTCAGGGATGTGTAGCTTGGATGGGTCTGGGTGGGATGCTCCAATGGTCAGTGTGGACTTGTTGGGCTGAAGGGCCTGTTTCCACACTGTAGGGATTCTATAAATATATAAATGATCTAGTTGAAGGAACTGAGGGCACTTTTGCTAAATTTGCAAATGACACAAAGATAGGTGGAGGGACAGATAGTATTGAGGAGGTGGGGAGGCTGCAGAAAGAATTGGACAAGCTAGGAGAGTGAGCAAAATGGCAGATGGAATACAGTGTAGGAAAGTGTGAGGTATGCACTTTGGGAAGAATAGAGCTGCTTTCTAAATGGGAAAACTTTT